GAGTAGTGGTAGGGTATCTTGGCTTTCCATTGGGTTTAGGCAGTATTTTCTCTTGGTTAGATGGTGGCTTATCGGTTGGGGGAGAGGAAGACCGCAGAGATAAAATCCCATTCTTATCACATCATGTCAGAGGTACCTGGTGTTGATATGACTTGCCATTGCCAACGCTGACAGGTCAAGACCCTGTGTATGAGGCAACTCCTCTGCGAAGCTCCTCTTCATTCTCGCCTCTCCATGCTGATTTTTTAAAAAGCAAAGTCACTGTGTGCATCCCTCACTGTGCTCCACCTCCTTGAGGTGGGGAATAGCTACATAAATTAAAGTGTTTCTACAAAACAGATTAAAATTATTAGCTTGTGTTTAGAATTTTATATTAAGCTGCTCTTTCAAATACATTAATTTAGTGGGCTGGGGATTTAGCTCAGCAGCACAGCACCTGCCTGGCAAGTGCAAGGCTGTGAGTTCAATTCCTGGTACCAGAAAACAAACAAACAAACAAAAAAACCCAAATACATTAATTTATAATCCCTAATCTAAGAATGTTTGCCATCTGGTTGGGAAGATCATAGAGGAAAAGTTAATAACAGGTGATATTTATAAGAAATATAACTTTAACCCAGCATGGTGCTATGTGCTGTATTCCTAGCTATTTGGAAGGCTGAGGCAAGGAGGATCACTTGAGCCCAGAAGTTCAAAGCCAACCTGGGTGACATAGTGAGACCACAGCTCAAGACAGACAAAAATGGAAAAAGAAATACAATGTCATACACTCATGTTCATAGGTAGCATTATTCAGTTGAAAGTTGGAAGCAATCTAAGTATCCATCAACAGACAATGGATTTTAAAAAACCAACTCTGTACCTACAATACAATATTGCTCAGTCTTAAAAAAGAGAATTTTCTCACATGCTTCAACATGAATGAACCTTGAGGACAGATAGTATACCAGATAGATTAAGCCAGCAACAAAGAGACAAGTACTGGGCCAGGGATATGGCCCAGTGGCACAGCGCCTGCCTGGCAAGCATGAGGCCTGGGCTCAATTCCCAGTTACAAAAAAACAAAAACAAAAAGACATACTGTACGACTGTGAGTACCTAGAGTATACAAATGCATAAAGACTGAGTCAAAGAGGGTTTGCAGATGCTGGGAGGAGGAGGATTGGTATTTATTATCACGAACATAGAGCTTTAGTGTTTCAAGATGAAAAGAGTTTGAAGGTTTGTTGTACAGTATTATAAATGTACTTAACACTGATGAACTGTACGCTTGAAATAGTTATGAGGGTACGGTTTGTGTAATATGAAGTTTTTGTTGTTTTTTGGTTTTTATTGGGCACTTCTAGATGGACTTGAACTCACTTTGTAGCCCAGGCTGGCCTTAAACTTGCAGTGATCCTCCTGCCTCAGCCTCCCGAGTGCTGGGATTATAGGCATATGCCACCACACTAGGCCTGTTATATGTATTTTAATACAATTTTTTGTTTTTTTGAGACAGGATCTCACTATGTAGCTCAGGTTGGCCTTGGACTCACTGTGTAGCCCAGGCTGACCTCGAATCCATGATAATCTTCCTGCCTCAGCTCCACCGCCCCCCAGTGCTGGGATTACAGGCGTGTGCCACCACGCCCAGGCTTTAACACAATTTTTAAAATGTAAAGAAATTTGATTTTGAATAGGAAATATGTTTTGGAATTAGCTCTCTAGTACGAACCCACAATTATTCTATAAATCAGAGGCTGCAAAACGATCCTGTATGCAGCTACCAACATTTAAAAATCAAGAGGTTGTACATAATAATCAGAAGTTCAGGCTTCTTTGAAAAGCTGGATGATCTGGCAACAAAAACCCAAGGGTGTTACCTGGCAGAAACCACCTCTGGCCGGCTGTGCCACCTCTGGACAGATGGTACGTGTTGCAGTTAACGCAGCCGCTACCATTTGTATTGCCATTTCCCCTGGCCAGAGTCGCTCGCTGCGATCCCCGGCCCATACTACTCTCTTCGTCGCAGGGCGTGGTTGGTGCGTTTCCTCCTGCTTAACGAAGGCTTGTACAGTGTGTCTCAGTCTGCCACCGTCTGAGCAGTACAGCCCTGTGATAGAACTTAGAGACTCAAAACTCTGGTTAAGACACTACGTTCCAAGGTGCTTGGTGACTCCTCTGGACCTCTCCTTTCACCCACACTTCCTAGGGGTGCCCTTGAGGCCTCAGAGGGGAGCCCGAAGGAATGCTCACTCTCACACCCTCTGGGGAGACGCGGTCTGGCCAGATCCAGCTTGGGCTCTGAGAGGACCTTCCACTGCGCCCACTGAGTCTTACTCCTGAGAGCTTGGTGGAGGTGTGCCGGCGTCTCTCCTAAGTCTCACGTAACCTGTCAAGCACTCAAATCAGACGCTTCTACCTAAGAGCCCCAAACTGCAGCACACACCGCACAAACCAAACCAGGCGCCAGTACTTCCCCCTCCTGCTGTGGGTGCCTGCTGGGTGCCAGGCATGTTGCTGTGTATCTGCTGTCCAGCTGCCCTGCTTCTCACCAGAGCCGCACCCAGCTATGGGGAAGAGTTCTGGGCAGCAATTGGTGTTTGGCACCATCTGTCCTACAAGCTCGAGAGTGTCCTACAGTACGGCTTCCGGGCCACCAACACAGACCTCCCTTGAGATGCACATCAAAACCTTCCCTTATTTTTTTAAAATTTACTTTAAAAATAAAAGAAGGAAAACATTAACAAACACGTCCATTTACAAAATAGCGTAAGAACAATACAAGCAATACTGAATTACAGACAAAGTGGTAGGAAATTAACAATGGTTGTATTACATATTGATACCTTCAAAATGGTTTCTCAGGAAAACAAATAAAACATGCAAGATTGATCAAATAATTAACCATTAACTGTTCCTTTCAGTAAAGCGACAGAAGTCAGTAGTCCAACTATGTTAGCTATCCTGCATATACATACATACATAATTCCCCCTTCTTTCTTTTCTCTTTTCCCTCATCCCAGTTGCTCTTTACTTTTGAGCATTTTCCTTTCGTTTGACAATGTCTGTCATACCGCCTAATTTTTATTCACTCTTTCAGGTTCTTACACTAATGAGACAATACGTTGCTTCCACATGGGGGTCTGGTTTATTTCACTTATGAGTATGGTCTCTAGTTGTGACCATTTACCTGTAAAAGCCGCGAGTTTATCTTTCAAAACCCTCCCTTAAAGACAACAGCCTAAAACAGGCGTGAAGGCACACACCTGTAATCCCAGCACTCAGGAGGCTGAGGCAGGAGGATCACCAGAAGTTAGAAGTCAGCCTACGTAGTGAGACCCTGTCTCAAAAAAATAAATAAGCAATAAAATAAATCACCAAACCAAACAAAACCCAAACCAACAGCCTATACTTCCATGATGTGTGCTAGAGCTGGGGAAGAAGGCAGCGTGTGGTGTAGCAGAAAGCTTCATTTGTTCTTTCCAGGGACAGTGGGCCTGAGCCTAAGAAACGAAGGCTGATTCCTCTGGTTACACTCACACATAGTCCGCCCACCGTGTGGAAACCCTCCACCCCGCGGGACCTACAGGGGAGCCCTCACACGAGGTGTGCATCTGACAGACATTTCTTGTTGTCTTCCCAGCATCTGTGTCCTTACTACTACATAGGACACCAAATTCCTCAGTTGTGTAGTTTGCATGAGATCGAGTCAACCTTCAACTCAAGGAAGGCCAAGGGGGAACGTGGGGCACTTGTTACAAGGAGACTGTTTCAACTGAATAATCAGACAAGCAGAACTGGCTTTTTGCTGCTGTTCATGACACGATACAGATAGATCCTGGAGTTCCGGTGTCATCCGGGGACTGCAGTGGGAAAGCTGCTGGAGGATGGAGTCAGGGGACAGCCAGCCACCAAGCGAGCAGGCCGGAAGGCCCCTCCACCCCAGGGCTGTTCGGCGATAGCAGCCTGCAAGTTCTCTGCGTGTCTTCACCCAGTGAGGGTGAGGGCTTGGTCGTGGGAACAGGAAGGGCCCTAATCCAGACCCTTTTGCAGCCGGCTGTTGTAGTGTTCACTGCCCATAACCCCAGCAGCTGGAGGGCTGAGGCGACGGGATTGCAGCTAGTTTGAGATCAGCCTGGGCTACCTCGTGAGGCAAGGCCAACTTGGACTACATAGCTAGACCCTGTGCCAAAAGAAAAAAGAGAGGAGAAAGAAAAAAGGGAAGGGGAAGGGAAGGGGAGGGGAGGGACGGGACCCTACTGAACACAAGGTATCTGCTTTAATCACCATCTCTCCACTTGTATTTTTAATCCTTTTGAGACAGATCAGTTTAGCTACAATCACGGTAGAATTTAGCTGATTTGAAAAAAGTATCCCACATTTATGTATTTTAGCATACAACTGTGTTTAGTTGTTTATATTTCTTTTTAATGCACATCTTTTAAAGAAAAATTCAGCTTTCTGGTTTTAATGAATCAAATGTAGGGCAAAGATGTTATCAACCCAAGCATTTTCTTTTGTCATACAAAGTTTTTAAAGGGGAAAAACAGGGATTTTAAAAAACAGGGTTTTTTTAAAGGGGAAAAGTAGGGATTTTTATACTGAAAAGATAAAAATTCATTCTGGGAGTCTGAAGCTAGAAGATGACAAGTTTAAGACCGGGCTGGGAAATTTCATGAGACCCTGTCTCAGAAGGGCTGGTAATGTAGCCCAGTGTACAGACTCTGGGTTCAATTCCCAGTACCACCATATATATATATGTATGTATAGTGATCCATGTATGTATAATGTGTAGTGATCCATAGAAGGGAACAAGTTCACAGAATGAGAAACCTGGTGTATACATGTAACTTTTTAAAAAAGATACAAGGCATTGGAAACATTTGGTTTCACTCTTTGCCATTATTAGGTATTCTCTATCTGATTGTTAGAAATTATTCATTTCCTCAAAGCGAGAATAAATGGGTTGGGGATGCAGTCTTGCACTGTGCACTTTCTTTGCGAAAGGTGAGCGCTGAGCTTTGCAGAGCCATGAGAGTGCTTCTGCAGTTGGGTTTGCTGGCTCTCGGGGCTGTGTGTGCTTGCGCCACTCCCAAGGAGAGTGCCACTCTCAGGGCACTGGTAAGAGAGACCTTGACTCTGCTTTCTACGCATCGAGCTCTGCTGATAGGCAACGAGGTAATTGTTTTTATTTCTACAGTTCTTCAAAATGCAAAGCAATCATTTGTGCAGGCATTTACCACACGGGAATGGCTGTTATAAGTAGTGAAATTATGGGCATGTTAGTAGTATGTAGGTGAAAACCACATCGATTGCAAGCGTTATATTAAGTGTTGTGAACGTTGACAGCGCTTTAAAAATGATTTTATGTCCTTTTCTTTTCAGACCCTGAGGATTTCTGTTCCTGCACATAAAAATGTAAGTTAAATTATGACTCAATCAAATGATCTTATAAATAAGTCAATTTCATATTTTAAGCCGTAAGTCATTAGTTTTCATCGGAACTACTGAATTTGCTCTATTTCATTTTTATATGGGGTAGATGTGAACATATAAATATCAGCAATGACTTTTCAGCCAGGAAAAGCGATTATATAAATGCATCGGGCCCTTTGGTAGTGTTAACGGTTCTCCATCCCAAGAGCTTCACGCCAGGGGAGAATTGCACACAGGGAGAGAGGGACCTGCGAGTCTCCCATTGTGGCTGACTGCAGCCTTCCTCATCCTGATGTCTTTTGGGAACATTAGTGGCCCAGAATTATATTTTTAGAGTCATCATTAGTAGACATTAAAATATACAAGTGCCCTCCCAATAATGCCCACATAGTGAAATGATTATGACTGTATAACAGTGTCATATACATTTGAAATATACCAGAGTGGTTATATGGTTGAAAACGTCATCTCAGTGTGAGGTAGTTTACCACTTGGAAAAGGAGCATGCGAAAACTCTTTGGAGAAAGGAAAAACACCAAAAAATACCACGTTGTTCACATTGTTTTGAACCAAAATTTGAATTGGCAAATTAAAATTGTATGCATTTGTAGTGTGCAGTGTGATGTTTTGAAATATGTACACGTTGTGTGATGGTCAGTGGACCAGGTGTTAATGCCTTCTTTCAGTGCCTTTTTTGACTATTACTATTTTCAAAATCTTCCTCGTTTAGCACCAGCTATGCATGGAAGAAATCTTCCAGGGAATAGACACACTGAAGAACCAAACCACACCAGGGGATGCTGTTGAAACACTATTCCAAAACTTGTCTTTAATAAAAAAACACATTGACCTCCAAAAGGTAAGTTTCAAACATCCCACGGGAACTGTATTTGTCTGACTGGACCCATTTCTACGGAAATTGATAGCTTCTGATGGCATTTACTTTCTGTGCTTTTCACAGCAAAAGTGTGGAGAAGAGCGCCGGAGAGTGAAGCAGTTCCTGGATTACCTGCAGGAGTTTCTTGCTGTCATAAACACGGAGTGGTCAATGGAAAGCTGAGACTAAACTGGCTGATGACATCTGAGGATTTTGGGTTGTTTAAAATCAAACTTATTCTTTAACAGATACATGAAAACAAAAATTATACCTATTAATGGGGTACCATGTGATATTTTAATACATGTGTACATTATGCAGTCAGGTTAAATACATCTGTACCCTCCAACATTTATCATTTCTTTGTGGCAAAAACATGCAGGGTCCTTTCCTCCAGCTTTCTGAGATACGTAGCCCACAGTCACTGTCAGTAGTCACTCTGAACGCGATAGCACAGCGGGATTCCTACTCCTATCTGCTGCTTCGTACCTAACGGTCCGTCTTTTCCCACGCCACCTTCTTTCTACTCTGAACTTCTAGGAGGTCAACTCTTTTCAAACTGCACATAGGAGGGAAATCCTATGGTGCTTGTGGTTCTGTGCCTGAAATAGCCAGAGCTCTTGGACAAGCAAAAGAATATTTCATTACAGTAAATACAAGAGCCAACCAAGGGTGGGGCCTTATTTTTCAGTATCATTAAACTTCAGTGACAAATATTTCAAGCACACTGGTGCTTTACCACCTCATTGCAAGCAGGAAACATGCAATAGTTGAGATGTATTTCAGATGTCAAAATCACCGAACTATTTCGCTGCCTTTTGCTGCAAATTTAGCTTCGTGTTCTGTAAAATAGCTGTTAACTTAATGGTATTTATCAGATGATTAAGAATTTGGTAAGTTAATATTTATTTTGTGCTGTACAATGTTCCAATAAAACAAAAATGGACAACTGTGGTTCATTTGCTTCTGGCCTCTGTCCTAATGCTTGAAGTTGGCACAGCCCGTGCAAGGAGACGGCTTGCAGGGAGGCTCGGGGGCTTGCAGCCCGATAGTGAGCGCCCCCATCTGCCCCAGAAGTCTCAGGGTTGCCAGGCTGCAGGGGGTGGAAGAAATCCAGCAGAATGTGTGGGTGTGGAGGGGGGGGACGGGGAACAAGGCAGGATCTGAGCCTAATTTCCTCTCCACAGTGGTCCACCCAGATCCTACGATGGTGAAGAGTAAACAGCAGGGAATGAATGAATGAGTGAGTGAGTGAGTGAATGGGCTTTCTAGAATGACTGTAAACTAAAATGAGTCGCAAAGGCTTTCCCTGGGAGGAAGGCAGCGCTGGAACCCTTAACTAGATTTCTTCCAAGCCCATGAAAAAGAATTTGGCAGACATTCTCACTGCCAGTTCAGAGAGGAAGCCGGAAATGCTCTTGATGGTCCGAAGAGCTGTGACCTGGGTGAGGAACGTCGTAACAAAAAGAGCAGACAAGGCGGGTAGGGTAGCTCTACCCAGAGGCCGAGCCCACGGGGCCACAGTCCCAGAGCAACACCAGGCGGAACAACACTTCAGTCTGAGGTTTTAAGACTATTTATCAGTGGCATAAATGCAGCTTTCTCTGCTTGAGAAAATCTATCAAGGATCTAGAAAATATTTAAAAATTGAAATAGACCTAGTGACAATATTTGGCTATGCCACTGATTTCTTCAATCCTCATCCAAAAACTACCTCTTGATCACGGGCCCTGCGCCGGGTGTGGGATACCAACAGGGTCTGTGCTGGAAGCCCTTAAAGGCCAATGCCAGCGTCCAGGGCGCACTGCACGCGGGGCAGGGAGGCCAGGCTCGGGGGCGTGTGTGACACTCTGGCCGCGGCAGAGGGGCTGAGCAGCAGACACAGACCGACACCCCGGCGAGCAATGCAAGTCCTTCTCTGGAAGAAGACGCATCTGCCTTCTTAAACAGCTCCAGGGGCCAGAGCTCTGCCCGCGGTGGCCCGGGCCCCTAACTGGTGGGCTCGCTGAGAGCCACAAGCCGAGCCAGTGGGGGAGGAGACGGGGGAGCACAGCACCAGCCTCTAGAAACAGGAAACAGGAAACTCAACTTGCAAAAAGACTGAACCTCAAATTATTGAAGTACTAAGCTCCAACATGTTCTAGAGCTGTTCTAGAGTATAGAATCTATCCATAATAAAGCAGACAAAAATCCCTATTATGGTAGCTAACCCCCCCCCCCCCAAAAAAGCTCATCTTCCCACTTCTTTTCCAGGATCTGATATGGTTAATGGGAATTTAAGGCTGGAATATCACATCAAAATCCTCACCAGTTCATCCAGGGAAGCTAAAAGCAAAGTGGGTTGCTCGTAAGTAACAGAAATGGGACTTCTCACAGGTACCAAGGTTTTTAAGGCAGAGTCCATGACGCTCCAGGCGGCTCTCCACCCCCTATAACAAAAGCCCCCTGATCGCCCCTGGCCAGCGGCACAGGGCTTCTGCAAGTCACAGGAGCTGCGCCCCTGGGCCAGGCCTCACCAGTCAGGGTGTTGGTTATAAGGAATACTTTGATGAATCTTGCTTTTCCTCCAAAGAGCTTGTTCCAACAATAGTCTGTCTCCGCCTGGTAGTGCCGAGGTCCAAGCCCAGTGGGAGGAGCCATGTGCACCGTCAGCTTGGTAGGGGGAGGGCCGCAGAAGCCCCTCCCCAGGTAACGATGCACCCAAAATCTGTCACTTCCTGCCAGCCCTGCGCCGCAAAGCCCGTTGCTGCTGCTCCTCCTTGTCTTTGCTCTTCCTCCTTTGAGGGTCCTGACTCTGGCTAATGTTCCATGACCAACTCCTTGCTGCTCTTCTGACCGACTCCCTGACTTTGACCCTTGGGACTTCCCATCCACAATTCGGCCCCGAACCGTCTGTCTGGTCCCCTCACCCCCGGCCCCATGGACTTCCTTCAACCTTCTGGTCACCCACACTGGGCCATCAGCGGCTCCCTACCTCAGGCTCACCTCATGCTGCTGAGTCCCTCCCCCCACGCCCACACGTCACCGTCGGGCATCAAACCTCCCACTCGCTCCCATCTGAGGTCCAGGTTCCCGTACAAGTCACACAAGTCTACCTCTGCCCCTTTCCACTTAACACTGTACGCAAGAAAAAATTATGCAGGAAACCCACTGATTTAAATGAGAAAACTTTCAGTGTATTGCATCTCAATCCCAAATCCTCAATTTCTTAAAACATAAAACAGTAAAATGCAACAAACTAACACTTGTGGAAGTAAAATATCTTTAAGATATTTTTGTATTTGTGTACTTAACTGTGGTATAATATGAATATAAAGATTTAAAACATTAATTCCTGATCACTGGCTGGTTAATGTGGCTTTGTGTTGTCTGTATATCATGCCACATGTCCCCTCAGCTCACATTCAGAACCTCTTCCATTGTTTTCTGTGAACTTCTATGTGCTGTCAGTTGTAGTTGGAGAGACTTTGTGTTAGTCTGTTTTTCTGTTACTGTAACACAATATCACAGACAATAAACTTAAAAAGAAGAAAGGCTCATTTGGGCTCACATTTTGGAGGTCTCAGTTTGTGGTTGGTTGACCCTGTTGCCTGAGCCAGTGGCAAGGCAGCACACCATGGTAGGTAGGAGCACATTCTGGAGCAAGCCACTCTCATGGCTTCTGGGGAGCAAAGAGAACAAGGAAGAGGTGGGCTCCCACAATCCCCTTTAAGGGTGCACCCTTAGTGACTTAGCTTCCTCCCACTAGGCCATGGAAAACATTTATTGGAAGGAGTTCAGCAGGGAACACAATCTCCTACTCTTCCCAGAATGCCCCATGAATTTCCATACTATGTACCTCGGCCCACGCTGTTCTCTGTGTTTCAGGACACCTGTCCTTTCCCTCTCAGTGTTACAAGTTTCTTCCCTGGTACTGGGGCTTGAATTCAGGGCCTCACACTGAGCACATCTAAGCACTTTCTAGTTTTTATTTTGAGACGGGGTCTTGCTAAGTTACCCAGGCTGGGCTCAAGCCTACATTCCTTCCATGTCAGCTTCCCAAGAAGCTGGGATTACAGACAGGTACGACTGGGCCTGGTCAGTGGTATAATTTTTGACATACCTTGACAGAATTATCCTTTGAAGTCCATAGTTTACATTAGCACTGGCTCTTGTATTGCGTGTTCTTCGGGTTTGGACCTATAATGTATAGTGACATGAGTTCACCACTGTAGTTTCATGCAAAGTTGTTTCACTGGCCTAAAATCCTCTGGGCTCTGCTATTCATCCTTTCCTGCATCTGAGCCCTGGCAACCACTGAAATTATTTTACTGGCCCCAGAGTTTTGCCTTTTTTTTTTTTTTTTGACAAGGTCTCACTATGTAATTCAGGCTGGTCTTGAGCTCAGAATGATTCTACTGCCTCAGCCTCCCAAATGCCAGAATTACAACCGTGCACCACCACGGTCAGCTTCTATAGTTTTGCCTTTCTAAAATAGCATATAGTTGAAATCATAGAACATGTATCCTTTTCAGATTGGTTTCTTTTACTTATGAATATGCAGTTAGCATTCTCCATGTATTCTCAGAGCTTAATAGTGCATTTCTTTTTAACACTAAATAGTATTGCATTGTTAGAGATAGTAAAATTTACCCATCCCATCTACTGAAGCATATCTTGTTTGCTTCCAAGGTTGGAAGCTATAAATAAAGCTGTTATAAACACCCACGTGCAGGTTTTATTTGGATATATATTTTCTACTCATTTGGAAAAATAGCAAAGAGCACAATTGTTGAGCTGTGTGCCGAAAGTAAGACACGGCCTACTGTTTTGCATCTCCACCAACCATGCATGAGAATTTCTGCTGCTTACATCATCATGAGCCGTTGACATTGGCAGTGTTTTTAGGATTTGGGTAATTTTAATAGGTAGAGAGTGATATCTTGTCATTTTAATTTGCAGTTGCCTGATGACATATGATGTTAGCATATGCTTATCTTCTCCCTGTATATCTCTGTATTTTTTTTTTTTCCAGTACTGGGAATCGAACTCACGGCCTTGTGCTTGCCAGGCAAGCACTGTGCCACTGAGCTAAATCCCCAGCCCTCTCCCTGTATATCTCTGATGAGAGGTCTGTTCAGGACTTTTGTCCATTTGTTAATCAGCTAAACACATGTTCGATACAAATAAAAATGGGATGAGCTCATTACCAGTGACCCTTGCTAAGAGGGCTTTGATAGGTCATACTTCTGGAAGGGGAGAAACATCTTCTTGTTTTTTACATTTAACTTTTTAAATTTTTTTCTATTTCAAAGAGAAGAAAATTTTTAAAAATTAAAAATGATACAGAATTTCAAAACCAGAGGATAGGAAATCAACAATGGTTGTTATACTGCATATCGTTATCTTCAAAGTAGCTCAGGTTACCAGATATCAGCATGCAAAATTGGTCAAAAAATTTAAGAAGAAAAAAAAATTAAGCAATAACTATTCATTTCAATAAACCAATAGAAAGTAGTACTACAATTATCTTAACTATCTTGTATATGTATATATGTATTTTTTCCCTTCTTTCTTTCTTTTCTCCTTTCCCTCATCCCAGTTATTCTTTCCTTTTGAGCAGTTTCTTTCCCTTTCACAATATCTATTGTACTTTTTGGATTTTGTTTACTGTTTCAGTTTCTTACACTAGGGAGACAATATGATGTTTACATATGTGGGTCTGATATATTTCACTTATGAGTATTGTCTCTAGTTGCATCCATTTACCTATAAAAGTCTCTAGTTTATTTTTCTTTATGGCTACATAATACTCCATTGTATAAAAATATCACATCTTTTTTTATCCATTCCTCAGCTGATGGGCATTTCGGTTGTTTCTAAGATTTAGCTATGGCAATTTGTACTGCTATAAACATGGGTGCACATATATTGCTGTGGTATGATGTTTGAAATTCTTCTGGAAAAGTA